TCCAGGGTTTCATATGTCACAAACCTGAAGAACCAATCAGCTCGCAGGACGGGGCTTTCTGTGTCATTCTTCTTTAGAATCAGTTTCCAGGTCGAATATGTCCGGCTGACTTACTCACTAACTCATGAGTGAGTCGATGAGCTCAAGTTGCAGCAAGCGCTGGAGGTTCTGGGCGGAGAACGACTTCATGGATCCATCAGAGGAAGCGGCGGTGTAGAGTTACATCTAAGCCACTTTAAGGCAGGAAGGGATCATTTTCAGATAAAAACTCTGATACACAGAGATGACTTACTGCTTAATGGAACCAGAACACAAGCAGGTTTTTTAGTCAGCATTTAAACCCCTAGAAGCCTCTGGAAGCCTCTGGAAGCCTCTGGCCTACTTCTTCTAAGAATCCAGACTGATTTTTTTTTTTTGCATGTATCTTGCTGCTGTTTGTTGTTTTATTGTTTTGCTCAATTATCTCTGTAAATTTGCCGCTGACCAGTAAATGGTATGCCTCCTGAGACGGTGGACGACTTTAGGTATCCAGGCTTTGGGGTAAACGGCACAAACCAGGATATCAGGGTGAGCACGGCGATGGCTTGGAAAGCGGTCTGAGTGTGGTGTGGAGATCCAGCCTTTCCAGAGAGCTCAAGACCAGATTCTTCCGGGCCACAGTCGAGTCCATTCTCCTGTACGGTAATGAATGCAGGTCCCTCAGTACATGGCTGGAGAAGTCTCTTGATGGTACATGTACCAGGATGCTCTGGGCTGCTGAAGACATCAGCTGGTGGGACCATGTTCCTAACATCACACTCTGTGGTGACCTGCCATCACAGGTCGTATCACCTGGAGGAGACTTGGCGTTGCCGCTATAGGGAGCTTCCTGCCAGCCAGCTCGTTCTTTGGGAGCCGTCCCACGGCTGGTGGAAGCCGGGAAGACCTGCCACCACCTTCCTGGACACCCTAGAGCGGGATCCTGGTGCGACCACCTCAGCCGAGCTCTCCGCATGCATGACCAACAGGATGGATTGGAACCAAAGATGTGAAGCTTGGCCGAGGCTGCCATGATGATGATGATGATGATGAATTATTTTTAGTTATTTTTGAAGGAATCATCCATCTCTGTCCTCTTCTTTCCTCCAACCAACCCACTCCACCTCCACCTCCTAATCCCCCCAACACGGTGAAGCCGAGGCACACGTCCAAAACAACCCACCCGTTCCTACCGACCCACTTCTCCTGCTTCCAGTGGATCACATGATCACTGAAGATACACGTCTGTGAAGATCCTCAGTCATCCAGGTCGTGGTTGTTGTCGTGGATGAGTCGTTGCTTGAGTTCCTTGAAGACGTTCCACCTCTCATCCAAGAGGCTTCATCAATCCTGAGTGGCTATTTGGGAGTTCCAGATACTGATATCCTGAAGAAGACCCTAACGAACCCCACTGTGTCAGGGGGAGCACTAACGACCCACATAACGAGGGGAAGGAGCAACAAAACCACCAATTGAAACTCAGGTGTTAATGTCTCCTTCAGGATATCAGTACCTGGAACTCCCAACTGGTCAGTCAGAGGTGATGAAGCCTCCTGGATGAGAGATGGAACGTCTTCACTAAAGATCTACACCAGCTATAAAGAAATAATCTGCTAATCTCTTAAATCATCCATGACATGCACATAAAATATACATAGAAAGGAACCACAGAAGGTCGCTACATCTACATAAATGAGTCAGTAAGCAAGCATCTGGAAACAGAGCTGAAAGGGACAGTTAGTCGCCAATATCTATAGTAAAATGCTGATTTTCTGAATGATAACTAAGAACGTGCAGCGTTCTCTACGAGGGTATGATCAGTATGTGAATCAGCAGAAGCCCTGACAGCCTTCGGCGTCACTCTTCCCTAAATCAAGATGGATTTTGTTGCAGGTAGCGTCAAAGAATATGTGAAGCATCGAGAATCAGCCTGGCTACGTGTAAAGTCCAGTCTGAACATGATCATCTGGTGTAAACGGTGAGACGTGAGCAGAAATCAAACACAGAGACAAAAAAAAAGAAGAGCCACAACTGTTCATGGAATTACGAGTGTATTGAAAATATTGTGAATTTTTATTTCAGAATAGAATACAGTTGAGATTTGACATGGTCAGACTGAAAACCTTTTGGATCCTCCTCCTCCTCCTCCTCGTTAGGAAAATGCAGATTTTGGCGCTCTGGACAGCAGGAGTTGTTTGCATGGCTTGTGATATTGTCGCTAGGTGCTCCGATAATGTTCTAACGCTCCTCGTGACAGCACCTTTCTTCACCGCGACGGACCGAGACGATCCCACGTTTTGCAAGTTAAATGTCGAACGCTTGCAGCGGCTGCTGGGTTTGTATCTGATTCTTTCAGGATGACACTCTGTCCTCTATTTGCATTTACAGTACCTCGTGTTGTCATGCTACCGTTTGCCTAAATTAAAACGTGGTTCCAGAATAAAAACGATGCTCCGCCCGGCCGGCGCTTTATTCTGTAAACACTCAACTCAGATTTAGTATTTGTGAACCTTTTAGTCTTAGCTGACAGGATGCGAAGGAATGGATGCAAGTCATAAGGCATTAGGTTGTATCCTGACTCTTGGGAATAAACAAACAGGTGCTCCGGTTTGGTTTAGATAGATTTTTTTTTGTACATAGATTTTACCGTCTGCCAAATCTTGGAATGCAGAAACATCTGGTTCACTTTAGAGCAAATGTTTTTCTGTTTTTTTTTTAAAGTCAATAAGAAAAATCCTGAAATAAATACATAAATAAGAGAAGCATTCCACACAACCAGAATCCAAGATAAACATGAACATTGATGCACCGAAAAATTTCGCCATGACGACCACCTCTGCAGGACATCAAAGGGAAACCAGACCCCGTCTCGGAAATCACCACGGCAACAGTTCTGATGATCCGAAAAAAAGCGACGCAGCTCCACAGCACGTTACGAAAACAGTTCTGCCATCACGGTCACCGACACAACACCTCACCACAGTACACCGCCATGCATGTTGTTCTGCAACACCAGAACCGCCACACGACCGGCTGCTGCACTGACCAATGAGATCTCTGCTGCAGATGTTTTCAAGACAAAAACAAACAAAAAAACAAGAAGGGACATGGCGGATAAGAAGCCAGGAAGCGAAAAAAGCCACTGATGCCACGACGTTAAAAAACTTCCACAATCATGTAAAGTGAAGAAGCAGTCGGCGCTCCGGTGGACCACGGAGACGGCGGCACCACCACCACGATGCTCTTGGCACTATGATATACTCATTAAAAACAGCTCGATTAAACGCTTCAAGTTTTCTCAGTGAAATCGTTGAGCGACGGCAGTTTTGACCCGAACACGTCCCGTATGTCGTCATGAGAAAAACTCCAGCCAATTGCTGCACCAGGCTAAATATAGTACATGCTAATCTTCCTCCGAGCGCCTCGACTCTTCCACATATTTGGTGCGGTTTCCTGCAGAAGACGACGACCACCACGTTACACACCGAAACACGCTGCAGGTTAAATATAGTTCTGGGTTGTCAGAGTCAGAAGAAGGTCTGGGTTCCCTTATTCTTCCATCATGTGCTATATTTCTTTAACAAGCTTTTTTTTTTTCTTTTCTAAACAAAATTTCAAATCCCGTTTGTTTTTTTTTCTTCTTCCCCCCTCCCCTAATCTGAAGCACTCAAAAAGTTAATTTAAATATGAGAACTGTTAAAAACCTGCTGTAAAATGCAATAAAGGCAACAGTCTCCAACCTTCAGTCAGTTAAAACTTCGTCATATTCCAGTGCTCCGCCTCGTGTCGGTTTCGAGTAATAATTGAGTAATACTTACATAAAAATGATCGGCTACATGACTGACCTTGCATGAAGGATGCACACCAAAGTGGCGAAACAGCGGAGAATGAAGTCGACTCTGAAAACGTATCTACTTCAAATCTGAAAACATCTTTGCAAACCCTCGGCCCGACTGAACAACGGGAATCGAGGCGAAGAGCTTTGCAAAGCATGTTTGGTTAAATTTTTTTTGGTTAAGTTTTTTTTTTCCCCATCTTGAACAATTTGTTTAGGTACAGCTACAAAAACCACAAAAACAAGCAAAATGTGGTCAAGGCCCTCATGAAGCTGACGTTTATCCTCAGAAGATGATAAATGTGTAGCCGTCAAAGGACTGTGAAGCTTCTTCCTATCGGTTGTTCCGCCTCGAAGCTGACCACAGTTCGGCGGACCTTAGCCACTGCGGTGGCTCCCGTCTCCGGTGCGCTGCATCCGGGCCGTGACCAGCTCGTGGGACACTCTCTTGCGGTCCTTGGCCAGGCCCAAGAAGCACATGAAGTCGATGAAACAAGTCGTAAGGTTCAACTTGCAGCCAAACTCGCTGGTTGCATAGTCATATGGGAACGTGTGGTGATAGTTGTGGAATCCTTCACCTGGAAGGCACAGCAGGACACACGGTGAGACATTCACACTCAATGACCTTTGACATAAATAAATAAAGCTTTTGTTCTTTTTTGAATCCTCAGTCTTTTGCACTTGCAGCCTTTTCTCAATGTCACAAGATCTGTTTTAGTCTTTTTTTTATTGCAAGAAAAAACCTCCTTCAGCGGTTTTATAGCTGGTGTAATGTTTTATCCTTGCAGTCATTCATTCACCCTGGTTGCTTGCTGCCGCTCCCAGGTGCATGCCTGTTACGCCCACGGAGTCACCTGACGTAGCCCTGAGCTGCGTTCACCTGACTGATCACGGTGCCACATAGAACAGCACAGAACTACACACACTTGAACGTTTAGCGTGTGCAAACAGCACAAGACAGAACTATAAAGCCAGAATACTACCACAGTACCAGACCGGTGCTCAGCTCCAGCGTGGACAAACCGCCAAGCCTAACAGGTTGTGCACAAAGATGTAACGTTGCGATAGCAAAGTGTTGCAGATGCACAGATAACATGAACGTCATCCACGATGCTGGCGGTGTTGCAGATGCAGATTTCTGTGACGGATAGAAGAGAGACTCCAGGGATGTTTGTAGCCGTCCTCACTATCTGGTGCACTTTCAGTCAGCTCAGGATGCTCTTTATGGCTCTTTAGAAGAATGTGGTCACCATAATGTTTGTTTCTCAGCCTCACAGAAACCATCAGTGCTGCTGCTGGGCTCTCTTAGGTGTGAAACTGGTGTCCTGGGACGAGGTGACGCTCTCCAGGTGGGTTCCCTTGGAGATCGACACGAGGGAATCGTTGATGTACAGCAGAGAGCGACGGCTCCTCGTTCTCCAGAAGCCAGAAAGCATCTCCTTTGTTCTGTCCACGCTCAGAGACGGCGTTTGTTCGCTCTGCATCCGTCCACTGGCGGCTGCACCTCCGATCCGTACGCTGACTCATCGTACTTGCCGGTGAGACCCACCACAGTCGTGTCATCAGCAAACTCGACGTGATTCAAGCCGTGCATTGGTGCACAGTTGTGAGTCAGCAGAGTGAACAGTTTTGGACTCTGCCGGGCCTGAGCGCTCAGTGCGGTTGCGTTGGAGACGCTGCTGCCAGTCCAGACTGACTGAGGTCAGGAAGTGCAGGATCCAGTTGCAGATAGGAGCGTTCAGACCCGGCAGGCTTCTCGATCGGGCGCCGAGGGATAATTGTGTTAAATGCTGAACTGAAGTCCAAGAATAGCATCTAAATGCACGTGTTCTGCACGTCCACGTGGGCGAGGACCAGATGGAGCGTGGCGAGGATGGCGTCACCTGTTGAGCAGTTCTACATGAAGCGCAGAAGGTCCGGTGAGGGGAGCAGCAGGGTCTGGACGTCATGAGCCTGTTGAAGCACTTCATGATGATAGATGGGACGATGGTGAAGCACGCCGGGATGACGGTGCGCTGAGGGACAACCCTGTACGCACTCTGTCTGGAGGATCATCTGGCCTCTTGTGTGTTGGTTCTTTGTAGAGTTTCCCTCACATCCTCCATGTTTGGACCAACACCTGACTGTTGTTAGAAGGCGACGTCATTCCACATCTGTCCAGGAAGTGACTGTAGATCCTCTGGATGTGTGTGTGATATACCAGAGTTTGGCCCTTCATGTTCCTCAGGCCACCTCCTGATGAGCGCTCTGTGAGCTCAGTTTAACAGCTTCACATGGATTTCTAGGAAGCACTGACTCGAGACTCGCATGGTTGAACTCATGGGGGACCGGCCCATCAGGGTGTCAGTTCTGGAGTTTGTTAATCGGCCCATACAGTTCACATCCTCTGGACTCTGAATGTAAGAACGGTGAATGCTCACGCTAAATAAAACGGCCTTCACACCTCTTATCTCACCATCTCACCGTCTTTGAGCCTGGTGCTGTAGTTTTCCAGGTTTCTGTTTGCGTGCTCGCATTCTGATATCACCTGATATCTAGAATCTGTCTCTGCCTCCTCCCTTGTGTTTGTCTGCCTGCCTGGTTTTGCAACATCGTTCAGCCCTTTTTACAAGCCAAGCTCAGTTTCACCACATTGCTTCTGTGTTCTCTGAAGAGCTTCATGCAGCTCGGCATAATATCAGGAATTAAATTTAAGGAAATCGATTCAGAACATGAATTAAAACTAATTTAAGTCATTAAATCAGTTCCTACTAAACAGCTGGATGATGTTTGCTCGACATTTAGATTGATTAAGGGCCTGTTTAGGTAGATTAGTCTGTCGCATGTCAACAGATGCTGATTAAATCCCATCTTCAGTACATTTAGTACATAAGATGTTCAGATAAAAAGTCTTTCTATCATTGGTTGTTATTTATTTGCCTTACTTGAAGCCACTGTGCAGTCAACAAGTGCACACATCAACTTCCTGCAAACATGCTTTCTGCAGGCGGTGCTTCACCAAAGTGACTAATTTACATTTTTCTATCTCTGTAGTCTTCTGTGCACGGTTAAACCTTGTCCAAACAGGACCCAGGTTCTGTAAAGCATTCACTTCTGACGTATTCAGCATCAGGTTACTGTCTAAACTCTGTCTCTGTCTCCTCATTCATTGCAGTGAGATCATGCGTTCATGTGATTTTCGTACCTATAGCGCTGAAAGTGACGAACTTGTTCTCCCTGGGGTTGATGTTCTTGTCATAGGGCCTGTTTCCCCACATGTGAGCGGCGCTGTTCACCAGCCACGTGGCGTTCAGCACCAAGGTGTACCTCAGCAGGGCCGGGACGAAGTAGGCCACCCACAGAGACTCTCCCCACAGATACCAAGGCACGAACATTGGGATGAAGAAGCACATGAGCAGCACGGACAGCTTGTAATACCTGTTGAGGAGACAGAGTGGGCGGGGGGGAGAATGAAAGTGTTTACTTTGTGCCCGACCAAATTTAAACACAAATGCTGCTTGTCAGGCGAGGATTTGCTCATTCACTCCCCACCGCTCGACGCATTCTTCACCGAGGCCTACATTTAGTAAAACTCAACATGACATGTTGGCAACTGTCACCTTGTTAAACCTGAATGATTAATTCAACCGGTACTGAAGACATAGTTCTGCAGCAAGCGGTGGGTGCCGTCTCACTCCTCTGCCTTTATTTGTATTTACAGCAAGTACAACTTATTTGTTTACTATCTAAACTACTTCCTCGGGCACCTTTTTTTTAAAAAAAAAAAACATGAATCAAAGAAATTCAGCTCCTAGGGTGAAGTGTAAAAAATCAATTATTAACTGGTGCCACTTACTTCCGCTGAACCATTACGACTTTGTCAGCCAGCAGGTCGTTGAGCTCCAGCTTGCGTCCTTTCTCAATGACGTCAGGGTGTTTGCGCACCAACAGCCAGCCGATGTGGGAGAAGAAGAAGCCCCGCACGGCGTTGTGAGGGTCAGCGTCCGTCTCTGAATACTTGTGATGAACCCTGTGGTCTCGCGCCCATTCAAAGATATCATTCTGTGGTTTGAGGGTGAGACGGAGATTACGCACACAGCTGACACAACGTGGTGCTTGTAGAATAATGACAACTGCTATTATCGTGACTCTTAAGTGTGCGTTTGACAGATCTGTGCGATCTGTTAGTCAGACGAACCTGAAACGCCATGGAGTTAGCGACACCGAGAAAGATCCTTAGAGGTAATTTGGCCTTGTACGATCTGTGGCTCCACAGGCGATGAGCTCCTGCTGTTACTCCTAAAGCACTTATCAAAAAGCAAAGTACAGCTGTGGGGAGAAACACATCAACACATTAGTCCGACCGCGTTGCACTCGTCTGCTTCTGTCATTCACGGGCAGCTTATTGCACTTGTGCTGCACATTGCAATGCCTGTGCATCAGTCTAATATACACGGTCAGAGCTGGGAGGGAGCTCCTGCAACAAGTGATCAATGAGAAGACAGTCGGCTCAGATAAACCCTGATATCTGTCACAGTGAAGACTGAATCTCCCACTAAATCTGGTTCACAACAGCTTTTCCAAAAGCATAAATTATTAAAAGCATTTGTTCACCACGTTGCCGTTAACATATTTGTCCCTTTATCAGTTTGCTCCAAAGTAATATTCACAATTTGAATAAATGAGCTGCACAAACAATCAAACAGTGTCCTCGATGAAGCGATCTGTGCTGCTCGTCTGACAAGAAGAGGAACAACTCTGATCGAAGCAAAGCACGACCTGTGACACTTCATGCACAAAGTAAATATCTGTTAAAGACTGCACGGCTAAATGCATCTGATGTTTGCATTTATGATAAATCTATTCAGCATTGCAATCTGTGCTGTTCTGATTCAGGATAAAGACACAATTATTTCCAACAAGATGCCACGTGATTCTTCTAATTAATTAGCTCCTGCATTCATTTCATACCGCTGCTAAAACAACAACATGCCAGTCGGGTTGTGGCGCTGATCGGCGTGGTGTGCTGTGCAGATTCCAGATTTATGCTGCACGCTGTGACATTAAATCTCTGGTGATGCATACGTCTGATCTCTAATCCCCCACACATGCAGGATGCTGGAAGGATCCTGCACAGATTATAACACAGCCACCTTTTTGCATCCACCAGAGGGGAGAAAGTGGGATGGGCTGCTGACATAACAGCTGTTAATATGGTAAAATATGCTTCCCCCCCTCCTCTCTCTCTCTCTGCAAGAAAATGCCACAAGCAACACCCAGTCTGTGCAGTGATGTTGTAACAGGTAGATTTTTTTTTTTTTCTACTCACACCAAAGCAAGGTCAAAGGAGCTGCTGAGGGGACGATGAAGAAGCCGTACAGGGCTCCTATATGCAACAGAGTCATTAGTATGACGTTTTTCCATACGATGATCCGGGCAGGTTTGGGGCCCTCTTTCTCTTTGTACGTGTGATCAAACGCGTCTTCTCTGGTGGTGGCTTCTGGAAGAACATCACCGTTGCTGCTGCTGCTGCTGGACTTGTGCTGCTTCTTCTCCAACGCCTCCGCCTCCGTCATCGTGGCTGCGGTTCTTGGTGATGCTCTGAGCGGTCAAGAAGATGAGAGAAATCGGTCACCTCGGTGGGATTTTTTTTTTTTGTGACGAGCTAACGTCACGGAGGCTGAAGGTGGAGAGGGGGGGATGGAAAAAAAAAATCTCCACAAAACAAAACACAACCTCCTCCTCCTCCTCCTCCTCCTCCTCCTCCTCACACGGTGAATATGTTTTTATGCTAGCTAGCCGTGCCAAGCTAGCTGCTGCTGCTGCTGCTGCTGTGAGGGTGGTAATGTACCGATGATGCTGACTTATAGCTGACATTCGCGACGTTGCATAACACTAAAAAAAATTTTTTTTTACACCTGTAGGAGAAAGAGAAGCTGAGCAAAAATAACTCACCGAAGACGCCCGGGCAGTAGAAACGGTATTCGGAGTGTTACACGGAGACGGAGGTGGTCTGTTTAACCCAAAACTACAGTAACCCAGAAAAGGGAGAGTGATAGTCAGCTCTGCAGCGAACGCATCAATGAGAGCCGGAGCTGGAGGTGTGACTGGCCAATCAGCGCTCGGATGCCGTCTGAAACTCGGGCTCTGATTGGCTGCCTGTTTATCTGCTGTTCACCTTTTATTCATTCTGCGAGCAGCCAGATGTATATTTACCTCCCCTGGAGAGCAGCTGCCGCCGCCGCCGCTGCTAACGCCGCTGCTGTCTAGACATGTAGGGAATCAAACGCGCTCATATTTCCAATTCACGCGTGGATTATAACGAATCCACGCGAGCTGAGTGACGAAGTGTAAATGATTAGAGTGGAACAAAACAAGTTAGTGACTGTACAGTAAACCCGGTGACCGAGGACCCCCGCCCTCTCAAGAAAAAAAAGAAATAAATAATAAAAAAAAAAAAAGAGATGCTTGCTCTGTCACGTAATCCTGATCCCTTAAAAAATAAAAAATAAAAACAACCTTAGAAATCAAAATTTAAAAAAAGAAAGCAAGAAAAATAATCACATGATAGGATGCACACATTCAAGTCATATTAAAGCGTTACATCCATAACCGGAAGTATGGGTCTCGCAGTTGTTGAATGCCACAAATAGTTATTTTTTTTTTTTAATTATAATATAATAAATCAAGTATAGGGTAACTATATGTGTATATCTACACAAGAACTATGATTAAACAAATTTAGACGTCAGCTAATAATTCAAGTGATTCGTACAAACACTGTATTTCCTCATGAAAACGTTTTTTTTTTTTTTTTCCAGATTTGACGTTACATAACATATACTATACATGAATGATTGATTTGGATATTTTCCTTATTGGCTTTTTTTTTTTTT